ATTATTGATAATTTATATATATGAAATAACAATTTCTGTTTGAATAGCTTGCTTGTTAATTTAAGATGCAGGTAACAGGAAAAGTAAGGAATTATTGTGGGAATTTAATAGTATTTGCCCCGTACCATATTTATAATAATTAAGAAACATATTATACACCCAATAATAAAAAATTATGCTGCCAGTTCTTTAGCTGATGTTGGCCTTCTTACACATCAAGTCCTTCCTAAGAACCTGCAGTGTAAGATATTGTAATATATTTGCATAGTATATGTACAGATCTAAGCTTTGTGACTTTTTGTAATTGATAGATGGAAATTTTATTAATTTATTATTTATTAGTGACATTTAAGATTTTTGGATTATGGCACCCAGGCATTTTATGTCATAATATTTCAAATTGCAATTTTCAGATCTTGATTCTCTGTGATCTCCTCCAATTCATTTACTTCTATTTTACTGTCTCCTAGTATTGCCACATCAATTATCCACACTTTATTATGATTACTTATTACATTTATATATTGCCAGACTCTTGATGACTATTTTGCATACATTTCTATCCTACCTTCTAATAAAAGTAGTGCTTATATTCATAAAGATATACTATCCAAGTTATAAGTAAGGTATTAAATCTCACCAAACCATATCCAATAAAAACTCCTCAACATGCATCAATAAACTCCTCAACATGCATCAAGTTAGATTTGGCAGCAAAACTTGTCTATATAAAAATATCTTTGCTGTCAGGAACATAACAGAGATGGTTCCTCTTGGCAAGAAGATTCAGAGCCCTGTGAACAACTTGTATGTCCCTGACAAGTGTGCCTTTGGCAGAGGAAACAGCAACAGAGAGTCTCTTCTGATATGCTATCCTACCTTACCCTGCGCTATCCCACCCCACCCCACCCCACCCCATCCCATCCCATGTCATATAAAGTACTTTTATTTAATGAACTCATCTTAATTTTATTTGGAAGAATTTGGTTTTTCAGAATGCCTGGCTCTAAGCTGCAATGGACTTCAGAGATCAATAACAGTACTTTGAACTGTGCCTAGAAGCAAACTATTTCAATGACACATCAAGCTCTGAATAACTGGATCAACAGTCAAACCCCATGATTCTGCACCAGGTGAAGTATTGCAAAGCTTTTCAAAGGTGGAAATAGGCCAAATGAATTCAGATGGAGAGTTAAGTTTGCACCTCTGTCAATCTTTTCTTCCAATGGAAATTTAAATGCATTGCAGCCACTCAATCCCTGGATGAGGATCTTAGTGAAGACAAAGAGTAAGGTCCATCTTTTTCCATGGACACCAAACCTAGCTGTAGATTGTGGGAATGGGAAAAATGAATGAGTGGGAAATGTTTAAATATGAAGAATAGATGGAAGTAACATACATGATAAATAATATCCAAATCTATTTTTGAATCCCACATCCATTGCTAGCATATGGCAACTGATATATTAACCCCAAGGAAATGTGAATTTTGGTGGACAAGGAAGTATTTTACTCCCAAGCCTAAACCATTAAACTCATTTAAAAATAACATATTATGGTATTGGAACTTAGTAAGATGGAGTTCAGTTCCTGAGTACTGTATGAAAAAAATATTTCTATTTCAAATCTTCTTACTACTAAAACAATAAGTGAATAAGACATAAAAGTACCAGGAACACCAGAATTATAGAATAAATTTATAGAAGTTTAGTCTTAGTTGCTTAGAATGTTTTCAAGTTGGGTAGCCATTTAAGTTGCTAAATACATACATACATACATACATACATACATACATACATACATACATACATGTTTACATATCCTAGATATGATTAAAAAACAAACTACTGAGTAATTTTGAAATAAACAAAAACTTGTCCAGATCAATAAACAAAAATATGGCAAAAGAACACCATATAATCCAACTTTGTTGTGTACTTTCTATTGTCTTCAGCCTGAACTGAGTTGTCTCTTGCTCCTCTGGAATGCACTCCTCCCTTCTAGGAATCCAGATCAGATTCCATCACATCTGTCTGCACATACATTCGTCATGTTTCATTTAACAGAACATTCACCGTCCTACAAGTGTACATAGATTCTTAGTACTAGTTTATATTATCAGGTGACTATTTCTTTCTCATAAAATCTGAAACTCCAGTGATTGTAATAAATCACTTAGCTATCTTGTAAAGTAAATGTATTTTACTCTAATATATTTGTGCTTTCAAAAACTTTTGACTTTGTTGCCTTTATTTTTATATAACTGGCAATGCATTGTTTTGACTCCAAAACAAATTTCTCATGATAATATAGAATATATTAGGCTGCATTTGTTTTACTAATGAGTGACATAACATATTGTATAAAGTTGTATTTAGATTTTAATATTAACTCCAAACATAAACTTTCTTTGACTATTATATTAGTTGCATCAAGCGTTAAACCAAATGGCAAATATATACATTGTTGTGCGTTTTGAATTTTAGAGGGATGATAAGAGGAGATTAAATAAAAGTATTTTCTGTAACCATGATATTATACTTTAAATGCACATAAAACCTGAAAATTCAGAAACAGTCTGGAATTGGTAAGGTAATGCCATAAAAACCATTATCAAAGTTATTAGGTTTTAGATAAAGCACTTCAACTGAATTCAATTATTTTTTCCCCAAAATTTTATAAGTTTCCACATTTCATTGTTGAACAATGCTTTCAACCTTTAATAGTCATGGTATTCTTAGAGTCACACATTTTTACTTGTAGCTAATTCCCTTCCTGATGTTAATTTCTATTCACGTGATCATGAATGATAATTAAATATATTCATTAATACATGTATAATACATTAAATTAAGTATAGCATTATACACGGTGTGGTGAAAATCCCCTGCCTCTCCGACATGTATTAAAAACCAGAATTAATGAAATTGTATGGAATGAGAATTTGAAATATTAAAGAAAGCATTTGAGTTGAATGCCTTCAAACAATGATTAGACAAATTTATGGGATTATGACTGCTAAAAATAATTATGTTACCATAGAATGTTTAGGTTCACAGCATTATATCACTGGAAAACTCTTGTCAGGAGTTGAAAAAATGACAATAGAAGGATGCTGCTAGAGATATATATTAGTGGGCTTCTGTAAGCCTCTGGTTGTCTGCTTTTAGATAATGAATATTAAATCAAATTGACCTTAATCAAACAGAGATACATGACAAAAGTCCTTGACAAAGGAATTTCCAAAGTTCCTGGGCTTTCACACAATCAAACAGTTTTTGCTTTTCATCATTCTAACTCTCCCCCTCCCATTTTTATCATCTAACACATTAATTACCATTCTCATCAAGAAAAGAATATAGTTTCTTTTCATATTTGAAGTATTAGTGGAATGCTACATGTACTATTTAGAGGGGGGGAAAGAGTTGCTCAAGAATTATACTGCCTTTGATTTTGTCTTGAGTATAAATTTGCAAAAATCAGACACTGAACCTATTAAAAATTATCCCCAAATGAATGGTTGTATTCAATCCAATTCTTAATATTCTCACAAACTCTCCTTCCAAAAAGAAGGAGACATGTAGATTCATAGGAGATTTAAAAAAGTAGGTAAGTGATGTGTTGTCAGTTTTATAGGCTTTATTATGGTAATGAATCTTAAAAGAAAAGGCAAATAGATCTTCTAACAAGAAAACTGAATGTATGGAAACACTAACTGATAACATACATGTAAAATCTAATCCAGAAAGCCTAAAAAGGATATATAGATATGGTTCTGTAATTCGCAAGTCAGAATTCAGTTTTTAAAAGCAGGCAAGGACTAAAAATGAATGCAACATTGTCCCCTGTTGATTTTTTTTTTTTTTAGATAGAGTGAAGATCAGGTAGCCTGAAGATTTAGGAGTGATGGAAATATTTTGCATGCTCACCAATTTTGTTTGCCATAGGAAAGTGACAAGTAGAATGAGAAAAAAATAGTATCCCACTTCTCTAGATAAATGTAGCTGTCAGTGTTGCAGGCTTGCCCTATCATAGATTCCACAAAGAGAGAGTAATGATGACATGTCCACAATCCCAAGACTTATGTGCTTGCCTCTGACATAGAACAGAATAGAATACTTTATTTGACCAAGTGTGATTAGACACACAAAGAATTTGTCTCCGATGCACATACAAGTACATCAGGATACATGTAAAAAAAGCTGGATTAGTGTTGTGATGTTGCCACATGCATTTTGCTATTTTTTCATTGCTGAAGTTTGTACCACACACCTATGTGTCATATGTAAACTGAAAGCTCTGATCTCTACTTTAGAGAGGCAGATATTCTACTTGGGAACTTAGCCAAACCTTTTAATATGTCTGTGTGTACAATGTGAATAAACACACAGAACATCTCTTTAGTGTATTTGCCTTTTGGTCTCTAAGACAGCTTCAGTTGTTTTGCATCAGTATAGGGAATAGGAACTACAATGGAAGTTCAGTTCTTGCAACCTCTGGCAAATCATCAGTATTATGCCTAGAAGCTTCTTTCATTGAGAAAATGTGCTTTAAAACAGAACTGAGCTGGGAGTGATGACATTTCATCGACTCCTCTGCTTGCTGCAAATAGCACATTTCACTGAAAATCATTTGTCGAGGGCAGAAAAGTTCTCAACACACAGCTCTACTCAATACCCAACTGTACCTCCACTCATGGGGAAATGTTTTTCACCCTCCAAAAATGATCAGTGCCATATTGTTTCTTGCGTTTCAGAATAACACAGTACCAGGGAGGCAATTAGCTACAAGCTCAAGGCTTGTAGAAAGCTTCAGCAGTGCTTAGCACCGTAGCACTTTTCACAAGGTAAATCGGTTTACAGAGGCTGGGGAACATTCCTTTCTTCTCTCTCTTCCCCCACATAATATTATCACCTGGAAATGTGAAATCTGGGATATTTCTTCTGAACAAAGATACTTAATTGAAACCATAAATCACAGCTTCTTACCTGTGTACCAACTGTTTGCGGCTTACACAAGTGGCTGTCCTGTAGTCATGAGTGACACACACTTTGTGAGGGCTGCACTTTACCTTCAAACATGGGTCTTTAGATGGGTCAAGGGCTATTAGAAACAAGATACAAAGAAGTTGTTTAGAAGATTACTCCTTTGTTCATTAGTCAAAATACTGAGTTAAGAATCAAAACCACTTCTCAGCTATTTTTGAAATGCTGTAAAATGTTTAATCCATTTGACCTCACAACTCTGTGCGATGAATGATATTCAGCTATTGTCAGCTGGTCAAGGTCATCCAATGAATTTTCAAACTAATTAATTAGGACTTTAAGCTAGCCCTCTGCTTTATATTATGCCTTCAAGTCAGATTTTACTCCTGGCAACTTCCCAGGCAAGTCTCTGTGATTTGATTTGATTTGATTTTATTAGATTTCTACCCCGCCCTTCTCCTTGCGGACTCAGGGCGGCTTACAGCCCGTTAAAAACAAGTAGACAAATACAAAAAACATACCACATTTTAAAATCAATTAAAATAAAATATTGCAATAGGCCAATTAGTATCCTTTAAAACCAATAGAAAACTAATTAAAAGTAATACTTAGGCCAGTCCTGCCTGCTTAAAAAGCCACGTCTTGACCCGCGCCGCCTTCCTCCCCTCTAGGCCTTAGTGGGCCTAGAGACCCCCCTCAAGATTCCAAAGGGTGGGGGCTCCCACCGAGAAGGCCCTCCCCCTGGGGGTCGCCAGCCGGCACTGTCTGGCTGACGGCACCCTGAGGAGACCCTCTCTGTGGGAGCGTATCGGCCAGTGGGAGGTAATCTGAGGCAGCAGGCGGTCTGTGAGGGGTTTTGTTTGTTTGTTTGTTTGGCAAAAAGCTTCATAAGAGATTTACCACTGCCTTCTTCCTATAGCTGAGAGAAAGTGGCTTGTCCAAAGTCATCCAACTGGTTTCATGTTCATGGCTAGAAGGCTAGAATGTAATTCTCTTGGATTCTAGCCAATTGCCTTTAGCCACTACACCAAACTTGCTCTCAGTTGTGGACTCTAGTAACTGCAATATCCTAACTACTGTCCTCCAACTATTACTCTTGAGGAACAATCATGTGTAACTATTGCCAATACATATGAAAAAACTAAGATTCAATGGTTATCTAGGTTGCAACTGACACGGACAAAGATGTATTAATTCTGCTGGATCGATAGACAATGAAGTATGTTACATTTTTAAAAAATAAGAAAATAGATTTGGCCTCTAATTTTATCACCATCCTCAGCCAAAATTGCAGGGAACATTTTATCAATCCCACTGGTCAATTTTCTAGGCTTCTGCATTCTAGAATTGCTTTTAACTAATTTTTAATTAAGAAGAACGCTACATGGAACCTCTCAAGTCTGCCATAGAATACTGACCCACATACGTTTTTTCTATATCTGTTGAAATAACAATTACATGATAAGGTATTAAATAATTACTATTGTACAATGGAATATACAGCAATTCCTGAGCCCTGCATGAAGTTTAGTAATTTTATGTTATTAAAATATATGATTTTACTCTATTGATCCAACATAACTCTTAAATGAACAAAAAACATAACATTCCACTTTCATTTAGTGCTAGAATGACACACAAATCCTAGTAAGGAGTGGACATACTATCCTTATTGCAAATACACTTAAAAATTACCTTCATTTGCAAATAATCTTTGAAACTTTTGTATACATATGCTCATGAAGGATACTGCATTAATTGATAAAATACAAATAATTACTTTTGTGTTACAATACTATTTTTATGGTACACTGTAGTAGTACATTGTTATAGGGTTTGTGAAATTAATAGTATTGTATTGTACTGAAACTTTGACATACTGTTTTAATTCTAGAGAAAAAAAAATAGCCACTGATTTGAATTTTTTTTCCAATACATGGTAATTAAAATATTGTCACATCTGAGACATATCATTTGGGGCTCCCAGCAACCCACTGATGTTTTGCTAATATTGTAATAGCAGGTTTAATACAAAATGGTTCATTTAATTTATGCTACACCTTTAGGGTATAGAGTACAAACAAAACAAGAACAGAAGCATGTCAGCTGAAATGAAAGGATACACCTTCTTGAAATATGTATTTATTTTTTAAATGGGTTAATGTCAAAGAATGACAATAGTACTTAGACTTATATACCATTTCACAGTGCTTTACAGCCTTCTCTAAGTGGTTTATAGAGTCAGCATATTGTGCCCAACAACCTGGATCCTCATTTTACCGACCACAGAAGGATGGAAAGTTTGAGTCAACCTTGAGCCGGTGAGACTCAAACTCCTGGCAGTCAGCAGAATTAGCCTGCAATATGGCATTCTAACCTCCCATTTCATAGAACACAACCTCACTACAAATACAGATTTTAGTAAAGAAACAATGCCTACTTTGGGGATCTTATGTTAAGACTTAGCTTTCTGGAGAAGACTGTAACCCTGGGAAAGATGGGAAGAAATAGAATAGAGTAGAGTAGAGTAGAGTAGAGTAGAATAGAATAGAATAGAATAGAATAGAATAGAATAGAATAGAATAGAATAGAATAGAATAGAATAGAATAGAATAGAGCTGGAAGGGACCTTGGACGTCTTCTGGACTCGGTTACAATGGTGATAGGGGCACCGTTGGAAAAGCTGAAGGACTAAGGGACAAATTATGACGGAGAAAAGCTATCTATGCTAAGAGTTGACAATGACTTGATGGCACACAATCAATCAGTTAATCAATCATTTACTAACCATCTAATATTTCATAACACAAAGTACCTTGCATATTCAGGTAATCTTCAACTTACAACCATTCATTCAGCAATCATTCAAAGTTACAAAAAAAGGAGACTTATGGCCACTCCTTGCACACAAGACCATTCCAGCATCTCCAAGTGTCACATGATCAAATTCAGACATTTTACAATCCACACGTATTTATTTGATTTATTTATATATATCAAACTTATTAGCTGCCCATCTCCCTCTCAGAGTGTTTACAACGATTGCAGCATCCCAGAGTCATATGTGACCTGCCCAGCCAGCTTCCAACAAGAAAAGTCAGTGGGGGAGAGGGAAATCCAAGTTTGCTTAATGACTGTGTGATTCTCCTAACAACTGCAGCGATTTGCTAAATAATTGTGGCAATAAAGGTAGTAAAACTGGACATGACTCACTTAACTATATTGCTTAGGAATGGACATTCTTATCCAGACTGTGGTCATTAATTCGAGGACTGTCTGTGTTGAATAGAGATTTGAGCTTAGTCCAACTCTGCTGCTTAGACATTGAAACTGAACTTTCCGTAAGATTTCCTTCTTTTCATTCAGGAAGAGAAAATTTAGAGCAGACTGTGGCAGACTGCAAATCTACAAACCAAACACCGCTTTCCCAGAATCTTGTTGCATCTACAAAGGGCAGTGACACAATCCCAGGAAAAGATGCAATTGCTTAAAGAAGTTACACTTTGGTGCCCTGAATGTCTGTGGGCACGCCAAAGCAACTTGTGTTCTTTTAATCCAAATGTCACACAGATCAAGTGATATCAGGGATTATCTGGAAGACGTGGACATTCAGAGGTCCCT